GATCTTTTTTCTTTTTTTTTTGGATGAAGGTAGTTTGTGTAGACAAAATTTTTTTGAATGCATGCCAGTTGAGTTTTGCCAAATATATTTTATGTCCAATCCTTATGTAACAGAAACACAGTCCCCATATAAGTTCACGTAACACGTATTATGTATATAATACTTATCTTGGTGAATATGAGATTTCTTGTAAATGAATCTATTCTTTTCTTTTGCAGAGTTTTTTGTGTACGTTGGGTTTCTCCGGTAGACTTTTCGTTTATTTTTTGTTTTATCTTTTTTTCTTTGAGAAACCATACGTGGAATTAAAATTAATCGGGGCGAACATTTTATATGTAAAAATTTATAGATTTAATATAACGGTAAAAATTCAAGTGTAATAATTTAACGGCTCTAGGTTCTTGGTATTTAAGCCAGTTACTTTTGTAATAAAAGTTTGTGTAATAAATAATGAAAGTTGCCATGTCCCAATTAATTTTATGTTAAGCTTTTTTTTTTGCAAATTTAAATATAATTCAGCTTTTAGATCATTACAATTAGTTTTTTTTTTTTGTATATTCGAGTAAATTGTGCCACGTATGATTTCTTTAAAAACGTATAAAAAGAACTAACTTTGTTAATAAAAGCATTTCGGTGATAGATTGGGAATTATTTAACAAATACTAAAAATTGTACAAAATTAACTTTTAAAAATTCTATATCAAGGTTAGTTCTTAAATAATTTTAAAAATTCTTTGCTATAGAAATTTGAAGTTTATTTGTATGTGTGTAGAGTCCAGAATTCGATACGGAGCAGGCTGTGGAGAAGAGACTGCTCGCGGAACTAGCGAGACAGCAACATCAGAGTGAAGAAGACAGCAAATGGCTACAAATGCAAGAAGATAATTTGGTAAGTTATTATATTTAATGTCATTTATATATGCAAAATATTGTTACCTATGAATGTCGCTAACAGATAATTAAAAAAAAAAACTACATATGTCGAGGAGATTACTTACGATACTATTTTATTTAGTTACAATTTTTTTTTCTCAAATCATATTAAACTAGCTGTTGCTCGCGACTTCGTCTGCGTCTAATTAAATAAAATTAAAGTGTAGCCTGTGTTACTCATAGATAAATTACCTTTCTAATGGTAAAAAAAAATTACAACTGACCTACTAGGTTTTACACACTTACTACACATTTTAATACATACACAAATACAAATCTTTCATATTTATATATTATTATAGATATGTTTTGTTTGGTTGATACAGAAGCGGTTATCCAAGATGCAGGTGGGTGCGGACAGCGAGTCTA